CCCCCCCTCAGCCGCCAGCCCGCATGTACTCCGCACCTTAGTATCTCACTTCCGCACTGCTCCTCCTCTGAGTCTCAGTGATATTCTCTTTCCTCCTAGTTGTAGAATTTCCACTCAGCCAGCCTTCCTGTGGTTCTGGATGATGTCCGTTCCGTCTTTTAGGTGTATTTTTGAATTGGTTGTTCGAGGCAGCAATCTCCGGCGTTAACCTATGCCGCCATCTTGGTTTCCCGTAAAAGTATTTTTAAATATTAATCTACTATCCTTTGACCTTGCTAAAATCATATTAGTTCTGGTAGTAGCATCTTTAGAATTTTCTACACTAATACTCATGTGACTTAAAATAGAGACAGTTGTATATCTTCCTTCCAAGCTTTGTTTCAAAGTCTTCTTGTCATCTGAGTGCAGTGACTCAAACCTTTGGTGCAGTGATAAAAGCTGTGAGGATCGTTCCTAGTCTTGGGATCAGGGGCTGAGGCCATGCTGGTGCCCTACCAGCCTGCTTTGCTCAGGAGGAGGAATCCCAGGCACGTATTGCATAAGGCAACTTGCAGTCAAGTGCTTTGTTTCAGGCCCTAGTTACATGGAACTTCCCTTCAGTTATTTGTAGATGAGCAGACATGGGTGGGAAGTCAGGAGGAATGACAGGGACTTCTCTTGTCGTCTGTCTTCTGAATTCTGTTATGGGCATGGGTGGGCTTTCAGGGAGCTGGTGCCAGCCATCCTGGGCACCATATTGAAATGCAGGTTTCAGCCCATAAAAATGTTTCATGTTCAACATAGCCAGTGTGGTTGGTTTTAGAGACCTGATTTGCATATGTTTGCTTCTCCCGTTTTTTTTGTTGTTAATCCTTACCTGAGGGTAGTTTTCCATTGATTTTTAGAGAGAGTGGAAGGGAGGGAGGGAGAAAAGGGGAAGAAAGAGAGAGAGAGAAACATACTTGTGGGAGAGACAATAATTGGTTGCCTCCCCTGGCCAGGGCCTGGGATAGAACTAGTGTCCCTGGTTGGATAAGACTCCTGTGGGCTCTGACTGAGGCCGTGTCAGACTTGGGGTTGGTGGATGGCCGAGCTGGCCCTGCGGGCTGTCGCGGTGGCTGGTGTGTCCTCAGGCGGAGGCCTGCCGTCCACCCCTTCCCTGGGACCGCACTGACTGCCTGGACTGGCACGGGGTCGCAGTCTCCTCTCCTTGCTCTGCTGCGTGACGTGTGTGGCTAGTGTTTCGCCAACACGGGTGATACTGCCGGCCTGTCTGGGAGGCCATGTGTCAGATTAAAGCAGGTCCTCTTCTGTGGTTTGTCATTGTCGTTATGAGTGGCACTTGTGGAGACTAATGGCCTTCCCCTCTGAAGCAGCCACTGCAGTGGACTGCCTGGCAGCTGTCCCCAGGTCAGTCAGACTTGCCTGCCTCAGACACAACCCAGTTGGGCACCGCACGTTAATTTAAAAAGCTTTGGCTTTCGTTGGTTTAGCATTTGCTTCTGTCCTCCTGGGAGCCACAGGCTGTGCTTGGTCCTGGTGTGGCGTTGGCGCCCTGCCTGTGGTCCAGGGTGCCACCCTTCCTGTCTCCTTCCCATCTCCTTCCCCTGCCTGAGGCCACCACTCTGAGACCCTAACACACCACCACCCCCGCCCTCCAGGGTGCTTGAGTTCTCGGGAAGAGGCATCTGGTGTGACAAGGTGCTGGGCAAACAGTTTGGCCTTGACTGGGAAGGATGGGAACACCTGGATTGTCCCTCATGAGCCCTAATAACTCCGGGCTCTGAGGGATGGTATGGAGCTTGGTGCACAAGGACCCAGGAGGGTGGGTCGTCTGTCCCCCAGACTCAGCTATCTGGGGCCAGGAGAAAACCCTCTCTACACAGGGCCCTTCGGGAGGGGGAGGATGTGTCCCTGATTGGGCTTGGTCAGGGTGGGCCATCCAGAGCTTGTTCTGGCCATCCGGGGGCTCTAGGGCCATCAGTGCTGCCTCGGGTGTAGGCCGGGAGAGGAGGTGGCCTTTGGGAAGCCTGCCAGGCACTTCTCCCTGGTAGATGAGTGGTGTCAGTTTCTGGAAAGTCGCCTCTTGAAAACGCCTGTTAGGGTTTTCGCTTTCACACACTTGCCGGGGGCCTGTGCCGTGCACACTTTTTCTGCACTAATCAGTGGGCTGTCCTGAGTCTGTCCTTATGCACGGGGTTTCCCAGCCAGGGCCCTGTGCTGTGCCTGCTCTGTGCCTGTCGTTGTCTCCTGCATCCTCCCTGCGGGGCTGACGGCAGCTGCAGCACTCTGATGGCCCTGGCCATGGAGTCACAGGAATGCACAGGGGGAGCAGGCCGCTCCCTTCACTGGGCACTGGCTGCCTCCCTCCAGGGGCACCTGGTGCTCTGTGAGGAGCTGGCTGTGAATTGTCCTGGTCCTTTGTCAGGAAGGCGGTTTTAGTTCCCAGTTAGATGTGATTCAGAGTCTGCACCCCATTATTTATAGCCCAACAAACCAGGGTGAGATGAGTGTCAAGCTCAGGTCTCACACCAAGCCCATCACTGTCCTCATTTCCAAGCGATTGCAGTAGCAGAGCCTTTTTATAAATGAGAGAAACCTGGTGCAGAGCCAGTTAAAGGTCAGTTAGCACAGGTTCAGTTAGCTGAGCGGCCTCTGGCCCTCCGCAGGCCCATCTAGGCTGCCAGTCGGGGGCCTGGCCCCTGCATCCCTGGGGAAGGGAGGGCCTTTGTGCAAGATCAGCATGCCCACCAGCGAGCCAGCATTTTCCACAAGCCACACTGGAAATCACATGTATTTTATTAGCAATTTTGAAATAAATATATTTTTAAGTGGAAATCAAATTGCAAGGCCATGCTCCACTCACGCCCTGCCCAGCCTCTTCCTGGGCCACAGGCCGCTGCATGCCACTGACCTCAGCCTCGCCCTCCAGCTCTTCTGCACCCCGCGCTGCCCGCCACCGCCTCCTCTGTCCCGCCGCCTTCCCGGGCTGTGAGAGCCCGCAGCACTCCGCCCCTCACCCATTTCAGTGTTAGGAAGCTGGCTCCCCTCTCCCCAAACTGTCACCTCTTCCCACGGGGACTCTCCCTTCATGTGCATCCCCAGGAGGCGCTCGGGGAGCGAGCTAGAATGGGATGCGCCCACCACCTCTCTGTGACTGTGGCTCTCCGCAGCCACTACGAGCCTAGGACCTGTGACCAAGTCCCTTTTCAAGAGGAAAAGTCCTCCATGTCTCATCAGCAACCCTGTAATTTAAAAGCATAACTCTGTGATTAGGGGAGAAATAGCTCGGAGCCAGCCTGCCCCCCAGTTCCCAGCCAGCCAGAAACGGGGGGCAGGAAGGGAGCAGCCCAGACCTGGGCTCAGACGGCTGGGCTCCTCAGCCTTCTGCTCCCCGCTAACTCCTTGTTTCCCTTCCTCAGAAATTGAAGCCATAAAGCTGGCTGAGCAGAAGCTCAAGGCGGAGCGGAGGCGGCGGGCCACGGTGGTGGTGGGGGACCTGCAGCCCCTCCGGGACGCCCTCCCTGAGCTGCTGGAGCTGGAAGCCGGCGCCCGGCGGCCACACGCCCGAGGGTGAGTGTCCGTCTTAGCCGCCTGGAGAGCGCCAAGCTGCGATGGCTCGGCTTCAAGGGAGTCAGCCCACCCAGGGGTTCTCCACTGGAAAAACGTCCAAGGGCCGAAGCCCAGACCTGCCAGGACAGCGGACAGGACTGGGGCTGGCACCGTGGGTGAAAGCCCCGCCCCATGCTACCGAGTGAGGGATTTACCCGCCTGGCTTTGTCTGCAGTGTCCTTAACTCCTGGGAAGCCCGTTGGGGAGGAAGCTGTGCCTGTCTTGGGAGCTGCCTACCAGGCCCTGAGTCTGGGGAGGGTCCTGCTCCCTCTTGCCTCCCACTGACGAGACACATTGGGGCTGGGAGGACCTGCGGGAGGCTCAGCCCACCTTGCATTCTACCTTAGTAACAGGGGGTGGAGATCCAGGGCCCTAGGCCTTCAGCCAGTAGGGCTATGCTGGACCCTATTTTCATTCTCCTAGCGCATGGCTACCTTCTGGGACTCTGGCGGGGGGAAGGGAGCCCTGAGCCCCAGTTCTGCACATGCTGGCCTGGGAGAGCTGTGGGTGTTCAGCATGGGACCCACACCCAGGTGGACACAGGGACTGGGTCAGTGGCTGGAAGAGCAGAGCAACGTCCTAGACAGGCAGAGTTGGGACCAAGTCGGGCTCAGCCAGGGTGACAGGAGCATGCGGTGCAGGTGCTGCCCTGGGTGGGCCAGAAATGTTTTTCATTCCTACTTTAAAAGAAATCCCAATTAAAGATGAGGGCCTCTGACCTGGAGCTGAGTTGGTCAGGACTGGGCAGTTTTTCTCCCCGCTCCCCCCGCCCCAATCTGGGTCCTTCTCCGCAGAGCCTCATGCTCACAGAGTCTTCCTTAGGGGAGGGTGCTGGTCCCGCACCATCCCAAAGCCTTACTGTGGCTGCAGCCTCAGAGATTCGCTCTGGCAGACAGTCCGGGTGAACTGGGTGTGGCCCTGACTTGGTTCTCTGTCCACAGGACAAGCAGCAAGCCCCGGCCAGCGGAGCTCAGCCGGATGAGCGCGGCACAGAGGCTCCAGCTCCTGTGAGTA